GGATCATATGGATCGGTATGCGACTCGTGCGTCGTGCTGGACGGTGCTGATATCTCTCCTTGATCACCCTCAGCTACGCCAAGATCGAAAAAGTCGGTGCGTATCGCAGTACGACTGCACACGCACTGTCGTCAATAATGACCCTCGTGTGTGGCATGGGTACCCTGCAGGCGAAGGTGCGCTCGTCTTCACCGTTCCCTGTCACCTCGCTGATGTGGTGCGTGCCCGCCACACGCACAGGAACGTATGGCGTTGTTTACAAGGCCAGGGATGTGACCACCAACCAGATCGTCGCACTCAAAAAGATTCGGCTCGAAGCAGAAGACGAAGGCGTGCCGAGTACTGCCATTCGCGAGATCAGTTTGTTGAAAGAGCTCAAGGACGACAACATCGTCAGGTACGTCAGCACGCGCTCTCAAATCCCACATCGTGCAAGTATGCTCAGTGTGCACTCGAGTGTAGGTTGTTGGACATTGTACATGCAGACCAGAAACTCTATCTCGTGTTCGAGTTTCTGGACGTCGACTTGAAACGCTATATGGAACATGCAAATACGGGCGGTACACCGATTTCGATCGATATATGCAAGGTGCGTCGTGTTTTCGTGGACTTGGGCGCTCCGTGTGGAAACCGCTTTTGAGGCTATGCAAGGATGAACGCGTGAAAGTGGACACGCTTCTCCGTTTATTGTTTACTTGCTACATTTCATCAATACGATCCGGTGCTGCCCTTGATGGCCCTCCTTTCACGGCGCCGCCGGGTCAGCGCCCTGTATTGATATCACTATCCGTCGTGACGACAGGGGGGAGTTACGCGCCGGATCACGTGATGTGTCATCTTGTCGTACTGATAGCTGACCTTGCACGTTAGAAATTCACTCATCAACTCAGTTCCGGGCTCCTTTATTGCCATTCGCATAGAATTCTCCATCGTGATCTCAAGCCCCAAAACTTGCTGATCGACAAACGCAACAACCTCAAGCTTGCTGATTTCGGCTTGGCGAGGGCGTTTGGTATTCCCATGAGGACGTATACCCACGAGGTACGCGACACATGTTGCTGCCGGTTGTACGCACATCTACGTTTCGTGCTATTTACGTGGATGGCCTAGGTCGTCACACTTTGGTACCGAGCCCCTGAAGTCTTGCTCGGGTCCAGACATTATTCGACTGCGATCGATATGTGGTCCGTTGGATGCATATTTGCGGAAATGGTCATGCGAGGAAATCCACTCTTTCCTGGCGATTCTGAGATTGACCAAATCTTCAAGATTTTCAGGTATGTCCTAGACGATATGTGCTAGTTTTGTTTGCTGAGATGGGGATACAAGGATCATGGGAACGCCAAGCGAGCAAATTTGGCCTGGTGTCAGTCAATTACCCGATTACAAGGAGACGTTCCCCCAGTGGACTAGACAAGATTTGCGCAACATTGTGCGTGGCCTGGACGATACGGGCATCGACCTGCTAACGGTGAGTGGTCGTGTGTTGACCTTTGACACTCGTGCTCATTGTTTCTGTTTAGCGAACGTTGACCTATGACACGGCGAAGCGGATCTCAGGTGGGTCATAGTTTTTTTTTTACCAGAGCGAGCACCGTTCTGATTGCTTGTAGCGAAACGTGCGCTGGTTCACCCGTGGTTTGCTGATTACAATTCATGAGGATTTGAGTAGCTAGTGTTAGAGTAGGCCCATGTCGTAGTCGCACTTGTTTTCGCATCGGAGAGGGTGGGCCGAACTGTTGCCATGAATGGACGAGTGACCGGACACGCACAGGTGATAAAGGCAGCGCATCGCCATTGAGTCACAGTGTCACTCTCTCCTCCTCCTCCTCATCCCCCCTCTTGCCCTTCCCACATCCTTACTCGCTTCGCCATGGACGACGACGTCCAGTATCTCGGTACAAAGCTTGCTGCTCCACACGACAACCCCTGTCAACCCCACCCTTCCCTTATAGGCATGTCTTCCCTCTCCAACCCCTCCAGCATGCTGCTCACACCCCTCACCAGGAATCATCCTCCACGTCGAGAAATGCGGCGACAAGCCTGCTCACGACCTCACCTTTTACCGCGCCTGCTCAGGCTATGTCAACATCGGCCGCAAATCGGGATCCGATGATAGGTCGATGCGACGAGAAAACGATGATCACAATGCGGTATTTACATGCCAAGTCGTCAGTGCGAGACACGCCAAACTCGTCCTCTCGGATAGCGGCCAGGTAACATGTCCCGTTCACCATCTCCATGCCAGCGCCAAGGGCTCATGCGGGGTTACGTCGACAGGTCTACGTCGTCGATCTCCACTCACGACATGGGACACATCTATCCAGGCGTGGCGAAACAGTGCCGAGGGCGCTCCAACCCGAAGTCGAAACCCTGCTTGCTGATGGTGATGTGCTGACCTTTGGCAAGGTCGTTGGCGCTGGTTCATATCACGTTTCCCCTGTCACAGTCCGCGTGGAGCTCATGACTGGCTTTTCGTCCTCTGAGCCATCTGCAGACCGTGCCCTGACCTCTTTTCACCCCCCGAGTCCAGTGCTCGAGATGAGGCCGCGTAAGCTCAGCTCAGGTCGCTATGGACTCCTCTCTGCTTCCATCATAGAATCCGATTCTCCCCAATCTTCCTGTTCCATCTCTGTGTCTTCGGATGTAGCGTCCTCACAATCAGACCTGGAATCGGATGTGGAAGACGAACATGTTTGCGTTCCTCCCCTCTTTCGTGACAGTCAGGGGAGGACGTCGGTCAAGATCCCGGCGTTCCGTAGTTTCATCCGAGAGATGTGTCACAGTAATGCCTTGCATTCACCTGCCGTCTCGGATGTTGTACTGGATGAGGCTCTGGAGGACGCTCCTGGCTCACCCCCCTCTGCTGATGTCGCCACAAATCCATCCCCTGTCATCGTCTCTGAGTCTTTCCCCAAGTCACGCCCTCAATCACCGATCGATTTGGTTACGTCCCCACCATCTGAGGCACAGCAGTTGGAGCCTGCTGTCATTGGCGCGTGGCCTGCCTCCAGACCCGAATCCCCCCGCCATTCGTCGCTCGAAGTGGAAGAAGGGCAGTCGGAGGTCCTTTTAGTGCCTGAGCCAGACCGTGAACCTGAACCTGAACCTGCTCAGCCATCTCCTTGTCAGACTAGAATCGCCCCCCTTTATTCCAACAATGCGCTGCATGACTTTGTGCAGTGTTTCAATGGGCAATCATCCTTCTTCCCGGGTAGCGGGCCATTCAACTCTATCACATCTGATTTTGGCCTTCCGTCGGTCCCGCCGCCTCCTCTACCTCCTCCCCCACATCGCATGCCTCCCTTCCACTCTCTCCACACTCTTGACAAGTTTGTGACTGAGCGTGTCAGCTCTGAGATTACAGGGTCATTGTCATTGAAGAACGTTGAGGCATGCGTCATCCACCTCCTTACTTGTTTGTTACTGATGAGCCCTCCAGGAACGTATCCTCACCTTGCAGGAGACTGTCACTGATCTCAAATCGCGCCAAACCGTGACGGAATTAGACATTGGCGATGTTCAGAGTCACGTCGACATGCTCGAGCCTGACTCGGAGCGCTTACTTTGCCGCATTGCAGGGGCGGAACGCAACATCGCGACCTTGTCCATGCTCCAGGGCCAGATGACTGCGCTGCAAAATCAGGTGACGACGCTTCGTGCGAAGGTGGATGCACCGGAGCCTCGGCCTGTGGAGACCCCTATGGATGATGTCAAGGCTTGTGCGAACGCCTTGAACAGTCTTGTGTCTGGTGTGTTGTGTTCATTGGGTTTCGTCGACGGCTAATGTATTATGTGCCTCGTAGAAATGAAAGCTCTGCGCGAAGATGTTGAGAAGCGGATAGAAGCCAAGATGGAGGTAATCCAGAGTGTGCGCTCCGAAGCGTTAGATGCATTGAAGGGGGTGGTCGCTGAAGCTGAGGTCGGACTTTCATCTTGCAACTGGTCATGATCTGATGGTGTCTATTCTAGTCTATGAGGTCCTCAAAACGGAAGCGCGGTGATGATGATGAAATGGAGGAAGAGGTCGTGGAACCTGCTCCTTGCGCGCCACCTCTTGTAGCGGACGAAATTCCTTTGATTGAGGTGTCCGTCCCCCAAGTTCCTATCCCTCAAGTTTCTCTTTCCATGCCCGAGCTTGCCATTGCCGTTCCCGAAGTGCCTGTTATCGAAGTTCCCACCGTCGAGCCTGTTCGGACCCAAGAAACGCGCCCGAACAACCATGTACACGGTCGCGCAAACAGCAACAGCGATGGCGATCGGTGCAGCCGCCGCGTGGTCCGCGTTGGCGTTTTCTTGAGAAAGACCGACTCGTGGTCAAAGTCGTCCACAAGGACGAATCATTCTTGTTCTCGGTTTGGTTGACGTTGATGTGGATGTCTTTTCAATCCAATTTTTCTTCTTTTTCTTTGCACGAGGCACACGTAACGCACCAAAGTGTAGGATTTACTCTTCCCCTCTCGCTTTTTTTCTTTTCTTCACCCTTTGTCGTTGCGAACGTTCAAGACGTGAACATGTACTAGTAGGATGTATAATTGTGTGGTTGTATGTGCATTATATATTCCCTCCGGTGTTGTCTGACTCCTGTAATCAGTTTGATCATGATTCATTACCACCAACGTGCTTAGTAACACGTTTTGACCGCACCTCGCTGATAAGTTTCTCTCTGTGGGCGCACACGGGGATGAATGGTTCTGTCGAGAAAACGACTGTAAGCAGATCGTGCAGTGCTCTTGTTCGAGGTCATCCACTGGATTCTGGTCATTCTCCCGTGAGTCGAATTTGATGCGTTTCGATGATGCGGAGGTGCTCATCCCTGACAGTCATCACCACTCAGCCCACAACGCTCAAACTGGCGTGCATTTTTCTATGCCACGCCAAAGAAAGTCCTACACGACATGTTGGAACAGAGTAGCCCTCATCCGTGTGTCTCAGAATGATCTCTGACTTTGGCCTGTAGTACACACCTCAAGTAAACAGACATGACCCATTATGTCAAGTCGGATATGGTGTAACGGCTAACATGGCTGTCTTTCAGGATAGGAAGCAATCCATGATCACAGCAGCCCCGGGTTCGACTCCCGGTATCCGAACACTTTTTTGTAGTTTTTTTTTTCCCTTGGTATTATGGAACTCGAGCGAGTTCCTCCAACCACCAAAATGGATGCACGCGCGAACGGCGGGGGGTTCCCATTTTATGGTTAGCTTGATTGTCCTACACAAGTATTACACTCCAACAAGGGCGTAAAAACGGATATACAAAATGGACGAGAGAGAACATGGTCGATCAAGACACAAGGAAAGTAATAAAAAGAAGGTATGGATTAACAATACACTGTAGATCAACGTCCCAATAACCCAACGCCACCGGTCAACGGTGGCAACCTAGGTCAATCAAACGATCCCATACGCCTCCCGCTCTTGTGCCGACCACGCAAACACAGGAAGCGCATGTGCCTCAGTATTAAACACCCAGCTATTGAGTGGCAAAGGATCCTCGTCCAAGAACAAGAGATAGAGGTATTTGAGCGTTTCGGCTAAAAAGTAACTAGAAGGAGCAGTGAGAAAAAAAAAGGCGATCGCAAACGAGCGAACAAACAGGAGACATACCTTGGCATCGCGTTCATCGGGGTTGGATGTGCAGTGTGGACACCCATGACGCTAGTGTACCCCGAATCCGTCTTGGTGTAGCGTTCGATGGCTTGGAAGACGTCCCAGCCACGATGGCGCCATTTTACGTCTCCGGTCGTTCGCCATAGGATATAAAACGATTCGACCGTCTGCGCAAGACACGGTAAGCGCGCACACAGACAGGGCCTCGTGTCCCGTACCTCGGGCCGCAGATAATACCCCGTATTCCTGATCAAATAGTCCCTCCCAAACGTATCTGGGTCGCCTTTACGCCGCCCAGCAGGTATCAGCTGCTCGACCGTCACGTTCTCATGTAAAGGACTCGTCCACGGTTTCATATCCCCGACACCTGGCGGCGAGCGTCCGTCTCGATCGGCCTTCCACGTACGCAGCGCATCTATCCACTGTATCGCGCCCGTCTCGTTGACGTCCATCTGCACAATCTCGGGCCCCAACCCCGTCGGTTGATCCGCATAGGTTAGGTAACATGTCTGCGCAAGCCCTTCCGCGGCCCACAGATGCACATCCGCCAAATCAAACTCGGCGAGCTTGGCATATGCGTAGCGGTCAGCGGGTGAGAAGTCGTCTGCGAGCGCAGTGACATTGATGCCGAAAGCGTCGAGGTGGTTGAGGGGCAAGAGATGTACACCGAGGGCGAGGAGGCCGGGGAAGAAGCAGGCAAGGTGTTGAAAGTAATGGGAAGAGGTTATCCCACGTTTCCACATCTGTGCATCGGTGACGTAGAGGAGGTGACGTTCGGGGGTGAGGAAGAGCAGGTTGTTGATGACATATGAGGTGAATCGGATGTCTGTGTGGGGCAGATCAGTATGGGTAATTATAGATATGAGCGATAGACGGACACATTTCGAGATTACGCTTGTCTGTACGTGCGGTCATTAGGAATTGTTTGAGAGTATATTCGTGCCCGCTATCTGCGAGGGCACCGACGGTGAGATGAGCTGGGAGTGGTGTGTCAATTGATTGCGCGGGTAAGAAGTAAGTGACTCACAGTCGGATGGAGCACCTGTGTCGAGATTCCATGCCGTAGGATACATTCCACCGAATCGATCAAGGGTTGCATTGTACAGCAAGTTGGTGACCAAGGTAGCCTGTAATGCTGCATGAGCTCCAACTCGGAGTGGGAACAAGCACCGAGCACGAACACGATCGACGTGTTCCTTTTTCCCGGTAATCTTGCCCAGGTATGCATATTCTATCTGAAAGGATGCTATTTCTGCCAGCACTCCGGAGCGAGACGCGAGGTTCTTTCCACTGCAAAACAAACCGAGTTCAGGATCAACTGCGAAGCTGAGACATCCGAGAAGCTGACTTGTAGGTGTCGACTGCGTAGACAGGGAATCCGCTCGTCGTGTTGAACGCAGATGCTAATTTAGTCGCCAGTTCGTCCGCCTTGTCCCGTAAGAGATCATCACCGGATATAGCATACGCGGCTAACAGTCCACCGAGATAGCGAATAACCGTTTCGAAAAAAGGAACGTGATTATTCTAATGGCGAATGGTAAATGTAACCGAGCGAGGCAAAGAGGGAAGGACTCACGGAGGGCAATGAAAAGTTGGTCTGACTGATGACGGGCAATGCACGTGCATACTCGTCCTCTAACCCCATGAGCAGCATCGTGTCAAGGGAATCCACGGAGGTGACACCCCAACCGTTGAAACTAGGCACACATGAGGTCAAACGACGGGTGACCTCACCGGCCCGGGGACATGGCCACGACCGCGCGTTGGAGAGAAGACTCACTTGTCGGTGCTTCCGTTGGAGACGGGCAGGAGCTCGTCGTGGGGGAACGCGTGCTGCTCATAACCACGGTAGGCATGCCGGAACGCCTCTTTGACCTGTGCTGCTCGCTCAGCCCAAATTTCGGGTGTCTCTGGGGGCCAGAAAAAATCGGCGTCTGTGAGAAACAAGACCTCGTCACTTCTGAGCCAAGCATAGTAGAGAGTGGAGAACACTGCGGAGATGGCGAGAATCAGAAGGAGATAGCGGGGGGCGATACGTCGATACTGGTGGATGTTGGGCACAAGGTAGCGGAGGAGAGACATGACAACACGACAATCGATTGATTCACAGGCAGAGTCCACAACACGACAGCGTACCAAACAACAACCAACCAAGTCCGTAAAGCACCAAACTACAAGTTCGCAATAACAGGGCTGCACCCGAAATTGAGGAAACCGTTCTACCACAACGACGTTCGCGTCAGCAACCAGGTGCATCCGAGCTCGACTCACCTGGGTCACATCAGTGCAGCACACCGCCTGCTCCTGACAGTCTGCCCCATTCCCAATACCGAGCACGTTGATCGGGTCGCAAGACAACCCGATATTACCCAAGATGTCCCCGAGACCAAGCAACCCCGCAAGGCCTGCACTGTTGCTCGACTACATCCAACACGTCAGAGTGGCTGGAGCTCAACGGGCGTCGGAGGTAGGACGTACGTTGAGCACTTGCTGGCAGCATTGCAGCTGGCCGTCGTTGTCGCATTCGCTGTTGCCGGTCGAGGTGGGGACACCCCTCGCGACCGCAAGAAACGCGACGACCGACACCATGACGGTAGATTTGAAAACACCAGCGAACATGTTGAATAAAGGTAAAGGCGGAGAATGCGAGCGGTGGATATCAGCCTGGAGAATGGTGGAGAGTGCAGGGCCAGGTTATATACCCTCGCCGACACGGTCTGTGCGCTGCTTTCCCTCCGTTCTCTTGACAAAAAGGAATGACCTTATGCGTCTGGGATGGTTCTTTACCGTGAAAAAGTCTCCCTCGACTCCTGAACGACCCATATTCTAGTTGTGGCGTCCTTCCTTCCACCTCCACGTCGTTCCTATTGTGGCGCGTTGGAAAAGAACGCACGACTGAATGTGCAGCAAAAGTCCAGTCAGGAAATGCCAGAGCCGCTCCTCTAGAATAATTGCTGCACCCGACAGTGACACCGCGGCGTACCCGGACAAACGAAACATGCTCTGATCCAAGCCCGAACGGACGAGCAAGATGAATATGGAACTTCGAGGCTTGCATAGATGCCATCATGTCTATGATGGGTCTCGACCATCTCATCATTTCATAGGCACTCAAACGCTCAAGGGTCCTTGAATCGGTATAGGCGGTCCTCCGAACCTTGTGCGGTTTTGTCCCTGAATCGGACAGGGGGCCAACGACGCGTGACGTCGATGGACATCGTTAGGACCAAATTGGATTCGAGCCTTTTGCAAGAGGATATCAACTTCTCTGCATCCTTATCGTCAGGCACAGCCAGAGAGGGAATCGGGATCAGGAGACAAGAAAAAATAGGCTCTCATCGGAGACCCCAGAAGGCACGACGTCGCGCCTCGTTTGTCTACTCAGGTGCCACGATATTTTGAACGAGATGCTTCCATTACACAACCACCAATACAAGTGTGTACTTGTGGCTTATACTATATGCTGATATATATACAGGACATTGAACCAGTGCAAGTTCGTCGGATCAGAAACACCATGAACGGGTTTGATTACTTGTCACTTTCTTGGTTCCTACCGCATAGACAGGAAATACACCCAACGTTGATCGAAGCACGTAGAAAATGCGATGCCACTTTAGATCGCCCCGAGCACATATACATGTCAACAAGCACGAATACAGCAAACGGTCTTCCATTTATACCGAGATGGAGCAGAAGAAAGGCACGCTCGAACGAGGGCCGTGTGGAGAATCCATCAAGAATATGCCTGATCCGTGACACCGACCGTCGGTGTATCATTACACCAGGCACCGACTGAACGTTTGAACCTGCGTCGACGCTGATCATCAATATTAATATTTACTATACCTCGGCGTTCTTCAAGCCCCAGTAGTATGCTAAGCCCATGTGCATGATCCGTCTACCCTCGGCCCGCTTCGCTGCCTAGTGCCACCCTGTTGCCACGTCACGCCAACGCCCTCGTGAGTCGTCTTCTTTACCCCTTGTTGGAATTTGGCAATGGTCGTCTCACATACTCGTATAGAGGTTACCTTGCCGTCTCGAGCCCGTACATACTTGGACGTGGCAGTGAAAAAAAAAACGTTGGACGTTCGACGACGAATTGACGATGATGATATCAGTGCCCATCTTTTGGCATCGGCCCCAGTACCAGTATCACGATCAAGAACGCGTACATACTACGCACACGGTACTAGCTGCCCCCCGCGTTCCATGGACCATGGTTCCAACGCGTGCCAAGTCATCACCGCCAAGTCATCACCACGAACGTTTGGTACACAAAGTGCTCTGAATAGAGTGTGTATTCCTTCGCTCTCGGGCTTCTCCCCACCCCCTCACCAGCAAACTACCTACGCAGACGCATCAGGCATGTCCGAGCGTCACTACTATACCAGATGTGTCCCCCCATCCTGTATTGGAATTTGGTAACGTACTTGCAGGCATCCATAGAGCGAGCATGACGGACGCTGCCATGTCCATC